CTCCCCACTCTTCTCCGATTTCCCTCGACCCCCCCTCTTCTCCGACTTCACATTTTCATTTTCCCCCTTCTCTCCCGCCTCGAACTCGCTGCCCCTAACCACCACCACAACCGCCTCGACCTCGCTGCCCCCTCTTCTCTAGAGATTCCTCTTGCTTTGCCGAGAGGACATAAATGGGTGTGTTTAATTATATTAAACACACTCATTTAAACGTTTTATTTAATATATTTAATATTATTATTTATTTAATATATTTTAATTTTAAATATTATTACATGTTTTTAAAATTAAACCACCAAACACAATTTTAATTTTTTTTTAACTGAAATCAATCTCGAAATAAAACTACTAAACGCATTTTGAAAAATGATTCTAAAATAAAAATAAAAACGTTTTCACAATAGCATGTGCAAATGATTTGGTCCCTCTCCCAAATTGAATCCATAACATTTACTTTCATTGGCTCAGTTTTTTTTTTTTTTTCCTTTTTTTTTAGAAAAGTGATTTTGTATTGAAAAACCATAATCAAACAGCATCTTCTAAGGACTCAACAGAGAACATCAATTCAAAGAAAAAAGATTTAAGATTTCTTTAGGAAAAATGGAAAAAGATGCCAAGGAATGATAGTCCTCATTAATGACGATCATTTTTCTTTAACTCTCTAATTCATTTCAAATGGTTTTTGATTCCCATGAGTTAATGAACACTCAAATTAAATCTTCCATTTATCTGAGTTCACTATGAACTGAGGCCTCTGCGATTTTTTATTTTTATTTTTTTGTTCTTTGTTTGTTGAACTCTTCAATTTTTGAGTTCTTAACATCCATATAGAAATGCCATAGATGATAAAACTAAAAGCACAAAATTGCAGAGTTTCAACAAAAAAAAAGAGATGAAGCAAAAATGGCAAAAGAGGGGGAGCGAGGAGATAGAGAGAGGGACTGAAATTTTGTGGTGTGCCGATGTCGGACGGATGTGGTTTTTAGTCGGATCTGTTGTTGACGTCCGCACTCTCCTCTACGGACGTTTTTGACGGCAGCGCAAAAGGAGAGAAGAAAATGAGTTTTATCCGAACGGTCTTGTATTTGATAACGGAAATAGGATTTTAAGCAATGGCACTCTTGTAAATAAGTTTAAAAGAAGTGACTTTTTATTAAGTAGATTTGTTTAAAAAAGGAAAGATGACACATGTCACGAGAATAAACTACCATCTGAAAAAGAGTCGAGAGTCTTGAGGTTGAGTTTTCAGTTTAAATTTTTACAGTAAAATTTTTTAAAAAAATATCATATTTAATTTTTTTTATTACAATAAAAATTTTTTAAAAAATATCACATTTTAATTCGAATTGAAAATTTAAATCTACAAAATGAACGGAGCCCGTTAATTTAAATTTTTAATTCAAATTAATACGTGACTTTATGTAAAAAAATTTTATTATAATAAAAAAATTAAATGTGATTATTTTTTAAAAATTTTTACTGTATTAAAATTTAAAATTTAAATTTAGTAAAATAAATGAGGCTTTTATTTAACGATCCTCGATTTAGTTTTGGATTATTTATCATCTTCAAAAATATTTTTCCTTCAAACTGCTTAACGTGCAGCCATAATATGACGTTGGCTTGAATAAAAAAGTGAACAAAATTAAAGTGGATGGTAGAGAAATGAAATGAAAATTAATTTAGAAACGATTCAATGAAGCTGTAGCATGATTAATATAAGTATTAACTCTCCAATAGTTTTTACTAAAACTAATTCTCCATTTAAAGGAAGGACATCATAAGAGCTATTTTGTATAATTGTTTCTTGTCTTAAATTCCTCTGGTGATATCTATCTGTGTTGATATTCTTCTAATCAACAAGGCAACAAATGTTTAAAAATTCTTTTCCAAAGAATTTTTTTTTTTGGGCAAATTCTTCGGTTAAAATGTCATCTTTTTTAGAAAATTAATATTAAATTCTTAAAAAACCAGATATTATTTAAAGGAAGGATCTCATTACTAGCTATATCGCATAATTGCTTCTTGTATCTAAATCCCTCTCGGCAATGTCTAAATTGCTATTTTTCTGACCAACAAATACTGGTGACTGGTCTATAAACGTGCATTTGGATCTCATGTTCACAACTTTTCTTGCGTTTCCCATTGGGCTAGCCAAGGAATTTTCTAAGAACAAGTTTTCCTCACAAGCCGCGGGGGAGATAAATTGGAGGGCTGAGAAAAGTGGTACAAAAAATGTCTTGAAAACGCTGTTCAGAACGCATACTGAGTGGCTGCTTTTTTGTGTCAATCAATCAAGTAATCAACCCTCTTCTTGACTTTTGTCACAAAAACAGAAGAAATAGACATGATAAATTATATAGGAGCATTCGAGAAGTAAAAAAAAAAAAAAAAAAAAAATGATCGATAGATAGTTTTATATTTTTAATTTTTAAATTTATATTAAAAATTATTTATTTTATATATTTTTTAATTTAATATGATTTTGATATGATATAATTATCTTTAAAAAAAAAAACTCTTTAGATAATTAAAAAATGGCTCTATTGCCTCACTCAACTCTACTCTTCTTCACATTACTATGGGCTTGTTCTTTTGAGTGAAAATTTAAAAAAAATAACTCGAGTTATAACTTTATTTGAGTTCATGTTCTTTTAAGTTTAAACTCAAGTTTAAACTCGAGTTCAAACTCGAGTTTAGGACTAAAACTCGAGTTCAAGTTTTCCCTTCAACTCGAGTTCAGAAACTCGAACTCAAATTAATGAACAGTATTTTTTCTATTCTTAAAAATGTTATAACTTTTTCGTTTTAATTCTAATTGAGATGATTTTTTTTATGCGTTGACAACAAAAAGACAAATAAAACCCGACCTATATACCCTATTAAAATTTTTCATCAGCATTGAGTTTTTATTAAAATACTATCTAAATACAAATTTAAGTTTTGACTCACTCAAACACAAACTCAAAAAGATTCTTATCTCAAACCATAACTCAAATGTACACAACCAAACACAAACTCAAGTTACAAATTCAACTTAAGAATTATACTCAAGTTAAACTCTAAAAGAACAAGCCCTACATTTCTTATAAGTGATTGTATTTTATCTTATCTCTATGAATTGTTGTTTTAATTTTTATATTGGTTTTTCAGGAGTTAAGTATCTACATTAAAAATTTACAGTATGCATTGTTGTTTTAATTTTATATTAGTTTTTTAAGAGTTAATTTATAAGTGTCTACATTAAAAATTTATAACATGCGGTATAAAACCATTCGAATTTACATGAGATCAAACTGCTGTAAAACTAATCTAATAACTATAACGACAATTCATACCGTTAGGCTTAAACAACAATTTTCTACCATAAATGTTTCTCTCTTATATAGATTAATATAGCTATGTACATAGTTGTAAATCTTTTGATCATTGTAGGAGTTGATTCGTCTTCATTAACGCTCGTTCAGACAATATTCATAGAAGCAGTACTAAGAAAAACCTTTTTTTTTAATCTCATGCTGTAGCACAAATATGCATAAACTGTATTTGTGCATACATACCAACAATAACTGATCGGAATTAGCAAAAAAACAAAAAAACAAAAAACAAAAAACAAAACAAAAAAACAATTTAAAGGTTTACCTTTTTCTTTAAAGGAGGACCTATCAAAGCTAATTTTAGTGCAATCCTTTTGTGTTAATTATAAAGTTCAACAGGTTTTATCTGCAATAAAGAAAAGAAAAGAAAATATGGAAAGAAAGAAGACAGCTAAGGGTGTCCTTTTATCTTTTGCGCAAATTATTAGAGTGAGAAACTGAAGTTGAATATCCACCCAAAACATTCCCATAATATCCATTATCCATTTGGTGGGGCTAACTATAACAAAGTGTCTGTTCCTTTGGTTTATTAAAGTCTATAATTTTAATTCTGTAGTTTTTTTTTTATAAAAAATTTAAATAAAATTATGAATCAAACCTCCTATATTTGATTAGACTTAATTGACAAACGTATATGTTAATTTATTAATTTATCTTAAAAATTAAAATTATTAAGAGATAGTTTAACAATAATTTTATATTCTATCACTTTCTCTTACAAGTAGGTCGAACAAGGGTATTTTATTTGTTTTTGTTATTTTACGGTTTGTATTTGCAGAAGTTTAAATTTAGAATCTCTCGCTTTGATGTCATATTAATTTACTAATTCATCCTAAAAATTTAAGTTATTAAGAGGTGAATTAACAATAATTTTATATTCTAACATCATCAACCTTTTTAATGACTATAGATTATTTTCTTAAAAAGAAAAAAAAAAGATCATTACGTTTATTTAAAGAGGTGGTCAAAATTGACCACCTCATCTAATTTCTCTTATTTTGTATCCATTTAGTACATCATCTTTTCGAGTCATGAGATCTCCATTTTTAAAGGACATTTGGTTAGAGGATTCAAACCATGTGATTCGAACCATTTTTGATTTATGTGAATTTTTTATGAGAGAAAATACTGTAGCGAACCATGAATCATGATTCGAATCCCTCTACCAAACATCCTCTTATCTTAGGCTTAGTTGAGCGACATTTTTTATTCACTATTGAAAGGGAATTATTGAAATTTTCTTACACTCGTCATGGCAGTATTATCACCTGTCCACCCAATTAAAAAATGCCACGTCATTAATGAATTTAACAGACTTTAATGGGTCAACTCCGTTTATTCTCTTCTCTATTTTTTTTTCTTTCTTTTCGTTTTTGTTTTTTTTAAGGGAGTCCTCTCGTCGCTGAAGCGGTT